GATAATGGAAAAAAGAGACAGAATAATTGAAGAATAGATTTTATAAAAAAAAAAGCTAGCATGGTCCTCATTGGCTAAAACCTAACAAAAACAATAGCATTTCTAACAAGGCATATGATAGCCTATTTATGATTAAGAAAGATATCAATCATAGAACAAAATCCTTAGTAAGTTAAAGATCTTAAGAGAGATAAACAGTTGTTATAGCAAGTTGTATTGGGTATTCAATCTGGTAAGTCTTTATTGAGTTAGAGCAACAAGTTGTAAAGATTTAATATATTTGTATATAAATTATATAATAGTTCACATGAATAAAGACAAGATCACTTAAAAAAAATATATATTTAGGCCAAAAAAAAAATTCTAAAAAATTAAAAATACTAATTAAGCCTATTAAAGTTTTTTCTGCAGAGCACAATAATATTTAACAAACTATATAAAGTTATCTAAAATATAATTAATTTTCAAAATTACTAGATAACTACTTTTAAAAGGTATTATTTTATAGTACAAAAAATTATTTGTAATATATTTAAATCCTATTTATTAAAATTTAATATATATATATATTTTTAAACTCTTAAATGACCTTGCTAATACTCAAGTAATAAAAAACTTTATTTAATTAATAACAAATTGTTAATATTATAACTAAACAAATATGTTTTTCCAAATAGTATGCTTAGTATTTTCCAACTTACAATAAAATATACCAGAAGTAATTACTGTATTTATCTGGCATATGTATCTGGGGTACTGTATTTTCCTAGTTTGTTTTAGTATCTAGGGTACTCATGTAGAGAGGGTCTACCGTATAAATACTACTATATTTTTAATATGTTTTACTATTATATATCTGGGTATAAAAGTGTGATACCCTATATTTATATACCCAGGTATAAATCAAAATTTTGCCTTCAAAATCATTGCAGGGTATAGTATATAGGGGTATACATGACGGATAAATACAATAATTATCAAATTCTATTAGAACTGCAATGGGAAGAGAGTGTGGGTCTTGATTTTTTTAAAATATAATTTCTTGAACAATTCCCATTGAACCATTTACTAATCCTACTTCTGTCTATAAGTTAGCCCTAAACATAACACATATATCTTTTGCTAGTAGTAATTGCATTTCAAGACCTTTTGCTAAATTAGAATTAGCTTTATATGCTTCAATACCACCTGTATAAATAGCATTTATTCTAGCAATAGGACAATTCAAGAATTTAAGCTTGTCAATATTAAGTTCATTAACGTTAGCTTTTCAAGGAAAAATATATGTAGCATCTAAGAATTGTTTATGTTCTGAAAGTAATATAGTTGATGAATCAATAAAGTATATAGCAAGTACTTTTTAGTCAACTACTGTAGAATCACCATTATATAGTTGTAGCAAAATATCTCTGAAATTACATTAACCTTCTGAATCACCTAATTGATGCTAAATCATATCAAGTTTATAGAACTTTCTGGAATTGTTTATATATAACAATATTATCGTTTGATAATGAATCATATCGAGTAATTTGTGAATATATAGGTTTATCAAGCACTGGGGAAAGTTAACCAAAGTCTCTAACCAGAATTACAGATCGATTACCAAAGGGCTGATTTTTATATTCAGAAAATGCTTGGCATAGTTGTATATTAATTAATGCAAGCATCTGATGCCCTACTATACTTTTTTTCATCAATGACAAAATAGATTACACCATTCAGTTTTTTCTGAAGCTGCTTTAGTCTTTTACTATCTATATCAAAATTAGTACTTTCTATCGGTATAAAAAGTGCTAAGTGAATTGTTGCCCCATGGATATTAAATACTGCAACGCCAGTTGGCACAAGTACAAATATAGATGATTTGGTATTGTTATCAAAATTTCTTGCCATTTCTTGTAAATAGCTTTGAATAATTTTAATCAAGTGTAATTTTTCTGTTTTCACAGTTCCTATTATTATAATCCTAAGTGGTTTAATTTGGATAGTATTCGCTATTAAGGTACTATAATGAGATTTAATTTGCTTGAATATTGACATTTGTTTCTCATTTAATGTATAGCTATCTATAACAAAATTGATTATTAAGCCCTTATTATTAATAGTATATAAAGAACGAGCTTGTTATATGAAGTTAGCCATTTCTGCAAAATTTAAAGTGTGATAACACTGTATAACATCGCCAACCCAATCATAATTTTGATCTATATTACATAATCCTAAATTAGAAGAGCTTTCAATAATTGCATTTGGACCTATTCCTGATAGGATCATTCATTTATGCAGTATCTCTCTTTCATATTCATCATTTTGTTCATCATCACTTTCTTCACTAACAAGTTCATTTTCCAAGTTATCTACAGAAGGGCCAAGTAAATCAATTGGTCTATTTTCAATTACTGCACAGTGCTTATTAAAGAGGTCTGACTATGAAGCAGTATTGTTTTTAGTTAATTGATCAAGATCATGATGACAAACATGAAGCAAAACTTTTACATGACAAAAATCTTCCTATTAAGTTCTATTCTACTGAGGTAATGGTCATGGCCAAATATGTACAATATTTTCAAGCTTGCATTATTTTCACTGACTATTCCAAAAATTATATTTTAAATAAAGCTAAAAAAGTGAAAAGTCTTCAAATTCAACAAGTCGACTCCAATACTTTTGAAGAGGTGATTGTATAGTTTGTTCAGTTTCATTATCTACTGAGAAACTTGTTACATTGTTATTTCTAGTGCCACGAAGCCATCTTGGAGCATCTTTGTTAAAGATTTAAACTAATAAGTTGACGACTTGAGTGGTAAAATGAAATGCCAAGAAGGATATGATATGTTTCTTGTGCAAAAATATCATGCTCTGTAATAGTATATAGCAATAATCTTTGAAATATACCAAGAGATGAATCATTGAGTTTACTATTGCTAAGAATTTGATTTAATATCTTTGAGAAAGCAGCAGACTGTGGCTCTGATTTACTTGCATATTTAGATATATATTGTAGAGCAGTGTTTATATTAAAAATTGGTTTTAAATCAATATTTGCATACTAGCTCTAAAGCTGAAGTCGATTATGTGGATTAATATAAAGATCATTTTTTGCTGTAATTAGCTTAGGTTGACCATTGTTATCATGTAAGTATGTAGCTTCTGTAGTTTTTTTAGAATATCCAAACCTGCAATGTTGTTGGCTTTTTTTGTTTACTTAAAGACAATATAAAGGACTGCAACGCGTATATCATTGCAGCTTGTTAACTAATTCTATATAATCTAGCAAGTTATCATGTATCTCATCATGGGTTTTTGGCAAGGATGACAATTAGGTGTGTGAGCATCAAGTCCAGGGTTAATTGTAGTGACTAATGAATCCAAATATTGTATTATATTATACATTAACTCTTCATTCTCTTTCATTCTTTTCTATTCAATAATTGAAGCATCTTTTATTTTTCCAATACTATGTATATAAGTATTACCATGATATTGCTACTCAAACCTATATCACCAGTCTTCAAAATTCTATTTAGGAATCAATACTTGTTCTAAAAATAGTTTAATACGTTTTTTAAAAGGGTCCATGTTATTTGCCCTACAACAATTTGTCTAACAACTATTTTTTTAATAATATTTTTAAGAATATTATTAAAAAAATAGCTGTCAGACAAATTGTTGTAGGGCAAGTGACATGGACCCTTTTTGAAAAACCATGCAGCAATATGTGGATTGTCAATTAGATTTTGGCATCTTTGTTTGTTTGCCTCTTGTTCTTTTGCCGGGTTCTCATTATGTGGTATGTTTATGAAGTTTTGGCCAATGCAAATTAGCAGCACTAAAAGTGAAAAAGATTATTTTATGAAATTCTAATTGCTTAGTCTGTGAGTCATCTTTTGTTTCAAAATTGGCAAGTTTCACACAAACACTTACCAAATCATATAATTTTATCTGCCATATGACTATTACTATCAACTATTTCTTAAATTTCTTTAACAGTAAGCTATTCTCCATTTAAACTTTGCTTAACATATATTTTTCCTTTTTGTAGGGCTTTCTATCTAATCTGTGAATTTAGTGCAAAATATCGCCACCAAGTGTGGCGAGCAAATCGGCTATCTTTATATTTTAGCAAATGTGCAAAGTATTCAGCTAGCTTATTTTCTCTAATATGTTGTAATTAAAGATCTGTATTTCTGGTCAGATACAAAGTAGGAAAAGCACGTACAATATACCCAAGTGTTTGGAATTCATTAATAGAACTTCCATCTATATTTAGCCACATAAGAGGAATATTATTAGCTTGTATTTGATTAAGGATGCTAGCAATAGTATATTCTTTATTAAGAGATAGAAGAAGTGTAGAAACAAAGTTGTAGTAATAATTTCTTCAGTATCATCATTGATATTATTAAAATATTCACCCTCTACATCTTTGAGCTGGAGTAGCTGATTAATAATAGGTCCATTGTCAAGTAAGGATCATAATATTTTATTATCAATGACAATATCAGTATAATAACGATTATTTACTTTTAACCAATATAGTGCATGAACAACCTTAACATGATGAATATTAAAATCTTTAAATTCTATACTATTTGCAGACTAACGACATACAACAAGAATATTCAATGATGATAGATACCAGGAAAGTCTAGTTGTAAACTCTAATATATTCTGTGGAAAGTTGATAACATTACTATAGTATATATACTGATCTCCATGAAGACAATAACAGGAAAAATTTGTACAATTAACATTTTTTCTATCTTAGTAAGCCTCTGTAATTCTTCAGGTACATCACCTGGATCCATATTGTTTTCTTCTGAGAATTTTTTTACAACACCTTTAGTATTATAATAATAGCAACAACACTCTTTTTTTATGCCTATAAGCTCAATCAATGGAAAATACTCCTTACAAATAGAACATAATTTATTTGCAAGTTTATTAATCTTAGTATAAAAATTCTGTAAAAGATCTTGATCAGATTCAGAAAGCTGCTATTCAATATTAACAGAAGGTAATTCTACATACAATGAATTAGTATCCTGGTTCTGGGCATTATTGTTCTTTGGTTGATATTTTGTTCTTTTCTGATGTCTTGACTCACGTTCTCTTTTTAAACGTCTTTCATATTCTTTAGCAGTTTTTAATTCCTTTTTTTTATACATATTTTCTTGCGATTGAATGTGATGTCTTTTATTTTTATCATTTGGAGTTTCCATTTTTTTTGTGCCTTATAATGGTTCAATTTTTAAGTAATTGACTAACAAAGTATTTTTTTTAAGTGCCTTATTAACAGTGAGTTTTTTTTAACTCAAATCAATTTATTAGAAAACTACTACAGGTTGAATTAATAAATATCAAGTGCATATAGGGAAACAAGTTTCCTGCTATATACTAGAACCTCAGACATCTTCAATATAGGTCATAACTGATTTGCATAAATTTTAAGGTTTTTGCTACTTCTAAAATCAAAAAATTTGTTAAAAATTTAATTATTACATACTAGGCTAATGCATAGCATTGTGTGTCCGAAGCATATGACAATTACTATATAACACAAACGTGTAAGCATACATATTTTTTGTAGTACTAAATTACAAATTTAAACACGTGTGCGGACAGACAAGAATTTTCAAAGTTACGATTTTGATAAATAGCTTAGAAGTGAATCAAAAATGTAACTATTGAT